CAACAACCCAGCGTGCTTGCCCCAGGAATCACGAAGAAATGGGATTATTATGGAGTCAAACCGGTCTGGATTCCAACTCCAACTCCCTCACTTACAAGCTCTGAACCTTAGTTCCTCATTCGTAAAATGAAGATAATGGTGTCAATTTCATAAGGCTTTTGTGAAGGTTACAACAGATTGCACTGGGGTTTCCCCCTTTACTAGATCATCCAGCTTGGGTTTTCATTATCACTAGTGCCATCATCTGTGCTTGGGCCACAGCCTGTCACTGAGTATCCTCTTCATTCTTTTCAGGTATTCCTTTCCCTCCTTCAAAACCGATCTCTTTCAAGAGGTCTAACCCTATCATCAGATGGAATTGAAGCAGCTATGAAACGGATGTCAAAATGATATAAAGATGATGAAAAACATTTCCAGCAGTTAAGTAACTGGGACAACTGGTGGGAAGAATTCAATGGGAAGAAAGATCCCAGGCTAATGGCTTCTTAATTCAATACCCTTCTAGGCCCTTATCTACTAACTTATCTAGTTTATCATGCATTATTCTGTACTCATTTGTGAGTGGCATTCATGGCTTCATAACTGTCTTTTATTTTCGTGATTTATTTTTAAGGTTAAGTAGTAAATTTCTTGAGGACAAAAACTGTCTTTTACTTTCTGTTTGCATTCTCTGTCTTTATGCACCCATCACACTAGTGTGCGCAAGGTAGATGCTCCCTAATAGAAAGAATCCTCTTAGTTCCACTACTGTTTCAGGGCACACATGTATGAGCAGCCTGATGGATATTATTCCCTCCAGACGGGTGATAGGAATCAGAGAACCGCTGTTGCTGGCGAACCCAGCAGAGGATAATGACACATAAGCTTTGTAGGCTTATACTTCTAACCCTCTCAACAATCCTACAAGGTAAGTGCTAAGATTTTCACTTGATAGACGAGAAAACGAAAATTTAGAGAAGTCAAGTGACTTACCCAAGGCCACATAGGTAGCAGGTATCGGAGACCATGTTCAGGTGCAGATCTGCCAACTCCAGACCTAGTGCTCTTTCTATGAGCCAGGGCTGCTGTGCTCTGAGTCATTGGAAGATATTTGACTAACTGCATTCCTGAAACTTGTCTGGTTGTGGCTCAGCACCCATGGATTTAGAGCAGGATTGATCTGGTCAAGTGGCAGGATTAGGAGGAAAAAGACTAGTTGATTACAGAAGTACTGACCAGCACGGTGTGTGTGTGTGTGTGTCTGTAGATACACACATCTATATACACACACATACATATGCGCGCCTAAAAGAATAGATGACGATAAGCACATGATATTTGTACTACAGTGTTAAATTCAAGATTGAGTAAATATACTAACATAGTAGTCTAATAAACAGATATTAAAATTTTTAAAGTTTTATTTATTGAAGTAATCTCTACACCCAACGTGGGGCTGGAACTCATGATCCCGAGATCAAGAGTCCCATGCTCTACCCGCTGAGCCAGCCAGGCGCCCCAACAGATACTTAAATTATCAGGTTCTATGGTGTATTTTCCTTCCCCCCCTCCGCCGCCTTTCTTTCCAACCTATTTTTCCAATGTTCACTCTAGTAAGCAAAAAATGAATCATAGTATCCAAAGAAATAGATTCTACTTTGTTCTATCCCAAATCCAGATGATTGAGGGGGAGAAGGGGTCTAAAGGAGGGAGAAGAAAAGTGCCTTTACCAATAGGCCCAGGACTCAGATGTGAGGTGCCCTGTTCAGGCTCTGTTGCTACTGCTCAAACTCCAGGCCATGGGTGGAACCTGCCAGCGACCAGGCTTCATTTGCTAGGTCTCATGGATTAGCCCAATTCAAAAGCTACCCTACATCTACCTAACAGCTAAGAACATAGGCAGCCAAGAAATGCCCCAAGGTTCTTGGGCCCCAATTCAGATAAAAAGGGCACCAGGATCACTGCCATGGAAATGATGATGCTTCCCCTCTCAGTCTTCTTCTCCCCCTCCCTCCACTGAATGCGATGGGACTGACGCAGATCCGAACTTGAGATTCAGATCTTGAACCACCACTGTGTCCTGAGAAAAAAAGAATAAGTTCGGAGTGAAGAAGCTCCGGGGTTCAAATCTTGACTGTGCGACCCCAGACAAGTTACTTTACTCTTAGAGCCTTAGAGTTGTAGATCCGTAATATGAGAAAAAGAATTGCCATGTGCAGAGGGTTATTGGGAAGATTTGGCTAAGTGCTTAAGGTAAGTGCCACAGAGAAAAGCCTTGGAAAATATTAGCCCCCCCCCCACATCTGCTTCTCCCAGTGCACACCCTGATCGCTGCTCCTAAGTTAGCCAGGCCAAGGTGGGGCTAGACTTGGTGGGGCACAATCTCAACCATCGAGGTTACACTGCTTGAGGGGCGCCCCTGATGCCAAGCTGCCTCAGCATCCCATAGGGCTTATTTGACACAGATCAGATCTTTTCCAGAGATTTGTATTCAACAGGATCACAGTTTAAGAACAGAAGTGAGAGGAAGAATGGCAAAGTTAATACATGTTTATAAGTTCAAGCCTCTAAGAGAATCTTAAAATTGTCTTTTACTTGGAGAAAAGAAGGTTGAAAGTGAATTTAACAGAGACTGAAGTGGGATAATGGCCCTGATCTCTAAGGCCAGAAAAAAAGGAAAGGAGTTGAATTTGCATTAGAGAGGGAGGAAGAAAGAAAGACTGAACTTAAGGCAAAACTTCCCTAGAAGATTATTACATAGCACATTGGGACAGGTGACCCTGGAAACCTATGGGGTGGTCTTCTTTAGAGCTCCATAAGAAGAGGACCCCAGTTTGTCTGGACTGAGAAAAGTACTGACCTGGCTGAGTAGTCTGCCCTGGAAATCAGTGGGAGAGAGGCAGGTGGGTGAGGAATATTGCAGGGATAGTTTTTGAACCCCAGAAAACGTGCCTAAAGCTCTTTGAGAGCTTTCAAGGAAAAGAAACAATGTCAGAGTGATCTGAGACTGGGAGACAGAATCCAAATACCAAAGAAGGAAGAAACCCAGTGTGGGGAACATGGGGCAAAGGGGAGGAAAAGAAACAGTCCATTCTGTATCCAAGTGACATGCCACGCTACTCCTGGTGGTGTCATCCTAACTTCCCTTCTGTGGGCCTCAGTTTCCTTTTCTGTGAATGAAGTGCTTGGATTAAGCACTATCTTGTGTGCTCTTCAATTCTGAACTTCTCTTCACAAAGTCGATCCAGAGGAAACGTAACTACATCTGTGAAAAGCCGCCACCGTCCAAAACCCGGGCTGTGCTGGCTGCACAAGACAGAGGGCCAGTGCACCTGCACAGGTGAGGGCTGGGGCTCTGGGGTCAGACCTGGGTAGAGAGTAGAGGATTTGAATTCCTCTCTGCTCCTCAGCCAGAAGCTAGTTGTTTATCTTCTTTGAACTTCAAAATCTTCATTTGTAAACTGGGAGTAATAATAGCTCATTGGGGGTTGTGAGTTTAAATTAGATAATGCAAGTAGAATACTTAGTATAATATCTAATAGCTTCTATACATCAGACACATATCAATAAAACGTACTTATTGTGTTAGTATTCTTGGAATGAGCATTTTTAAACCTTTTTATTTCTATCTCTACTGAATTTGTAGGATATATTGCAACCAAATCATATAATTTGTTGCGATAGTGGCATTTGTTCTTAACATACTTGCCTTTTCTTGTTTTAGTAGAATAAATCCGAGTTCATTCAGCTGTCCTGAATGGCATATTAAAATACATACACAATCCATGCTTCTCTGGCTGCCTCTACCTATTCTCTGTCCTTTTTAATTTGTAAAGTAGAATTAACAGAGTAATCGTCCGGCATGCCCGCAGCTCTGAATCGTTGACGTGGTCCTTAGCAAGCCCCTGTCCCCGAGCCCCGCGCTGCCCCTCTCCGCCGTGGTCAGTTCCGCCAGGATTCTGTCGATGTCGCCATTTAGCTGCTCTTCTCTGCACCGTGGCCCCTCCCTCTGCAACTTCGGTTTGCTCTTTTTAATAGTGTTTCCAACTCAAAAACCCCTATCTGACTCTTCTTGAGGCTGGATGCCTCACTCCCAGCTTCACACCCGGCGGCCATGGGATGTGCACCGGGATGATACAGAATTCAGTCCACCAAGCTGAGAGGGCGCGGCTCCTGGGCCAGGGTGGGGCACCAGGTTAGGAGCGGCCTCCTGCCTTTTGGCTTTACTTCCCCGCAGGGGACACCGTAGGCGGCTGTGCGGTCCGGCCACTGCCCCCCGCCCCTCGCGTCCGGCCGCGCCGTGGGTTGCGGTCTCTGTGGGGGTGGCAGCTCCTGTCCGGGAGGTTTGCGTCTGGCGGGGCACCCCGGAGCCGCGGGGAGCCCAGAGGCGAGGCCCGGGCGGGGTGGGGCGCGTCCGGGCGGGGAGGGCGAACTCGGGCAGCGCAGGGGGCGCCGAGGGCAGCGGGCGGGCGGACGCGGCAGAGGAGCGAGCGGGGACGAGGGCTGGCTGGTGCCGGGGCCGCCCGCCCGAGGGGGAGGAGGCTGTGCCGCCCTTGCTGCAGGTTCGCTGTCGAGCGCACAGGAGGCAGGGACATGGGTAGGGTGCGGTCTGCGCGGGGCCCGAGCCCGGATCTCTTCCATTTCCCCTCTCACTCGGCCCCGAGCTGCGCCGCAGACGGCAGCAGCTCCCGCTCCGCCCGAGCCGCCTGACCGCCGGGCCGGGGTGCTAACCGCGGGGCCCGCCAGCCCGCCAGCCCGCCGGCCCGGCCAGCCCAGCCCAGCCCGGCGGCCCGCAGCCCCGCCGCCCGCCGCCCCCCGCCGCCGCCGCGTTGCCAAAACAAACGGGCCGGCCTATTTATTGGCGGCCGGCGAGCCGGGCAGCTCAGAGTCGAGGCGCCGAGGGGGACAGCGCGCCGCCACCAGCCAGGGCCCCGGGCCCCCGCCCCGCACCTGAGTCCCGCCGGCCCTGCGCCGCGCCGCGCAGCCCATGGCGCCCCCACCCGGAGCCCCCCGGAGCCACCCGGACGCCTGAGCCCCCCAGCGCTCCCGTCGACTCGCCCGCCCACCAGCCCACCAGGCGCCCTCGCCGGCCGCTCGCCCGGGCTCCCCGGCCATGTCTCCCGCCCGGCTCCGGCCCCGACTGCGGTTCTGCCTGCTCCTGCTGCTGCTGCTGGTGCCGGCGGCGCGGGGCTGCGGGCCGGGCCGGGTGGTGGGCAGCCGGCGGCGGCCGCCGCGCAAGCTTGTGCCGCTCGCCTACAAGCAGTTCAGCCCGAACGTGCCCGAGAAGACCCTGGGCGCCAGCGGGCGCTATGAAGGCAAGATCGCGCGCAGCTCGGAGCGCTTCAAAGAGCTCACCCCCAACTACAATCCCGACATCATTTTCAAGGACGAGGAGAATACGGGCGCCGACCGCCTCATGACCCAGGTGAGCGCGACCCGCCCTCGCAGGGCGCCGCCGCCGAAGCACCGCCACCTGCCCGGCCCTCCCCGCCCCCCTGGCACCTTTTCTCGACTGGCTGGCACGCCCCCTGGCACCTGCCCCTCTCGCCAAGCCCGGCCGCCTGCTGCCCGAGATGGGCCGGCCAGGGGTCCCCGGTGGCAGTGCGGACATCCGCGAACCCGCTGGAGGCCGTGAGAAGAGCTCCCCGCTGCCAAGCGCCACGGCCGAGCCGGGTGGCGGCAGCCCCTCTGCCCCGGAGTGCAGGCAGCTGAGGCCAGACGCGGCACCCGGAGGTACCTGGACCCGGCCGCCTCCCGCGCCGCCGGGACCCACTCAGTCCCTCCGGGCCTAACCTTCCGCACGGCTGCGCCCCTCTCCTTTCGAAGCCATTCGGCACCCCTGAGGCGAAGAAGCTGCGGGCGCAGGGGGCCTTTCCTCCCCGCGCGCTCGTGGTCCGCTGCGCCGCCCCCTCCTGGAGCAGCGTCCCCCCCAACCCCGTCTGGGGTTAGGGACGGCGGGAAGAGTTGGGCTGGGAGGCGGAGGTGGGAAAGGGAACTTGCCGGGCAAGCCCACGTGTCTGTCCCTAGAGCGGAGCGGCGCAGCTGCGGTTAAGGGTGGGGTGCCGGGAACTTGGGGCTCTGGGAACGAACTTGGGGGATCCCTGGGCTTGGTGGCGGGCCCGGGGAGGGTTGAAAGAGAAGAACCAGGATGCCGGGGAGGCAGGGAGCAGAGAGCTACCGCTAGCTAGTTTCTGCAAGCTCCGAAGAGGACCCGCTCAGCCCACGCACTGGGGAGCAAACCTTCTTCCCTGCAGCTGGGGTCCCAAGGGATCAGAAACCTACGTGCCCTTCCTCAGTGGTCTCCCGGGGCTTCCCCCGCAGGCAGGCAGCCTGCTCCCTAGGTGCTTTGGGAAGAGCAGCTCCACCACAACCCTCAGCCTGCGCCCTGGCGCCGGGGCTGGTCGGCCGGTGTCGGGGCCGAAGGTTGGCTGGTGGCCGGGCCGGGCCGGGCGCCGAGGAATGCAGATAAGGATCCGGGCCACGGGCTGGGCAATCATTGACAGCGCGCGCCCGGCTCTGGACCCGGGGGAGGGGGAGAGGGGCGGGGGGCAGGGGCCCGCGGGGCAGGCGTAGGTGGGGGGCTAGAAGCCTGGAGGCAAGGAGCACGCAGAGCTCCCTCCCTGGGCAGTAAGCAGCCCCCAGCTAGGCTGCTCGCCCGGAGGACGGCCAGGCCTTGGGCTGTAGCCACGGTTGGCTCCTGGGAGACCCGAGTCCAAGGGTCTGTGGGGCCCGGGCTCTGCGAGGTGGGGGTAGGTTGAGACACCGTCTGCCCACACTTAGCGGCCCCTCGCACCTGACTCAAGTACTGTGAAAGGGCCCCCTCTTCCCACAGGCCCCTCCCCCCAGTCGACTGCAGGGTCCTTTGGGCTGCTGGCACGCGGGGAGTCACCACAGACGGGTGAGCTCTCCCGTCCTTCCCGCAGGGTGCGGTTCTACTCCCACCCCCATGTGAGACAGAGCGTGGAGCCGGCTCCCTGAGATCAGAGGCTCGGTTTCTCGGGTCTCTTCCCTGATAGGGGCTGCGCAGAGGTGCCCAAGGCTCTGGACTCAGGGAGAACGTTGTCTGGGTTTATCAACCCTGTGTGCCCCCATGCAGCGGGAGTCACTCTGCCTCGGCCCTCCAACTGACCAGGCTGGGCGCTAGCATTTCCACCAGCTTCTGGTTCCCCGGCTTCCGCATCCTCGGATTGGTTGCTGGACGCTTTTGGATCTTAAGTCCCAGCAGGAATACTCTGTGGTGCCTGAGAGATCTGGGAGGCCTGGGATTCCCCTCCAACACACCCCCACGCTGCTGGGGGGCTCTGCACCTGCCGGGTCCAGGGGACCCGAGTTGGGGGGCTTCAGCCCTGAGGCTACGGTGACACCTACTGGGCATGTCCGGCCTTGCACGCCTAGCAGGCCAGCCGCAGGCAGTCGGCTTCGCTACCACCCCCACCCTGCAGGCAGAGGGCGGTTTCTGGTCTCCGGTGCCTTGGTGGGACAGAGGGACTGGGCACTGGATAAGTGTCGCCCCGCCTGTGGAGGAATCGGTACCCCGATCTGAGGGGAGAGAGAGAGAGCGCAGGAGGGAGGGGCCACTTATCAGAGAAGGTCGCCCAAGGGTGCACCGCCCTCCGGGCCCTCCATATTTGTGGCGCCACCGTGCGGTCCAGGTCCCTGGAGCAGCCAGATGCTAGAACGCAAGGCAGCAAGTTAGGGCTCTTTGTCCCGAAGAGACAGGGACAGAGCACCCTCCCTGGTTTCCCAAATCCAGCGGATGCTCTGGGAGAGGCTAGAGGCGCACCTCCACCTGCCCGCAGGGCAGCATCTCCCCCTAACTCGGCGCACTTTCCTCCCGCAGCGCTGCAAGGACCGCCTGAACTCGCTGGCCATCTCGGTGATGAACCAGTGGCCCGGCGTGAAGCTGCGAGTGACCGAAGGCTGGGACGAGGACGGTCACCACTCGGAGGAGTCGCTGCACTATGAGGGCCGTGCGGTGGACATTACCACTTCGGACCGCGACCGCAATAAGTACGGACTGCTGGCGCGCTTGGCAGTGGAGGCCGGCTTCGACTGGGTGTATTACGAGTCCAAGGCCCACGTGCACTGCTCCGTCAAGTCTGGTGAGCCGCTGCCTGGGGGCTGGGCCCGGGGCCGGGGCCGCAGGGCGTGGGCAGGCACAGGGCTCACCGCTGCCCGGAAGGTGAAGAGGCCCGCCAGGGGATGGAGGAGGGGGCCCAGGGAAGAGGACGTCCGCGGCGCTCCCTGCTGCTGCTTGTGACCCCCTGCTCATCCCGTGCGTGGTAGTGTCATGGCAGGAGCCTAGGGAGACAGGGCCCTGTCCCAGCGCTGCTGGGGGCTGGCCTTGCGGTCCACAGTCCAGAGCCTGCCACAGGAGGTGCAAGACAGAGCAAGCTGGACAGATGGAAGCCAGGCTGTGACAGAGATGGCCTCCCCACTCAGCTGACTCAAGAATGGAGGCGGGTGGTGGGACCAAGGGCCGGGGGCCAGGGCGTGCCCAGATACCGGCATGCCTGACGGGGGGGCCAGGAGCCCAGAGATTCAGAACCCACAACCCTGCTGCAGGTCAGGCCCTTTGGGGCACTTTGTATGCTCCTCCAGGGGGTGCAGGCGTCCCCAACCTCTCGCCCCCGCCCCCAGGGCCCTGAAGCTGGGCGTTTTGGGGTAAAGCCAGCCACGAGGGCCAGAATACACAGAGTGGACTCAATAAAATAGATTTTCCGAGATTGGCCGCCTTGTTGATCCAAATGGGCAGGCATGGGGGCCTCGCCCCTCCCTCAGATCTTGTCAGCGTCCCTGTCACCTACACTGAACCCAGTCATGGATGCTTCAAACGGTTCCTGCGTGACTGCCAGTCTGGCCCCACCTGGCTGTAGGCACAGCCCTCCGCGCGGGCACCAGGCAGTAGTCACGCTTGAAGACCTGGCACACTGAGACCACGCCCACTGCTTCCTATTCCCAAACCCACCGGGACACACAGTGGGGGCCCCCACCCCCCCCAGCACTTGTCCGCCAATTGTATCTGCTTCAAGTCACCTCCACCCTTCACCTGCGAACCACTGGCCTGGGGCCAGCTCCCCAAGCAGCCACCTGCATCATTATTCCTGACCCCCAACACTGCTCTCCATCCCACTCACCAGTGCCACTGTGTCCTGTCCCTGCACAAGGACCCAGCACATGAACTGAAGACGGTGATTTTACCCTTGCCACTGAGTCAGACCCTGGCCTGACCCTTCACTCCAAGACCCCCCCGGAAGTCTGTGTTTGTGCATGGCGGGTCCCCCCTCTCACTTCTCGATGGACTCCAAGGGCCAGCTCTGGCACAGAACTTGGGGAGTCCGTCTGAGAGGGCAGTTTTTGGGGAGTGTCTGAGCAAGGAGTGAGAAATAATGGGACGTCCAGACCCCAGAGGAGCTAAGTGCCTTCTCCACGAGACTGCAGCTTTCTGAGGGTCGAGCCACAGCTGACTGCTGCCCAGCTCAGCCGGCCCCTGGCCTCTCCGACTGCTTCACGGCACTGTCAGGCTTGAGAGCCGGCGGGGGCTTTACCTGGGCTTCAGCAGGGCCCTTTCCTCCTCCCTCGCTGTCTTGGCGCCGCAATACGCTCCTCTCACTGGCAAAGGATTCGACTGGGGGTGGGAGGGAGGAAGATCACATGGTGGGGTGGGGTGGGTTCAAGGCTGCATGGGACTGGGGGAGGGAGTGTGGAGCAGAGCCAGGAAATGGTGATGGGGGGGTGGTCTCCGGGAGCGAGAGCGAGAGCGAGAGGAGCTCTGGGGAGGAGTGCTGTGACACAGTAGTAACACCTTCATGTCCCTTCTTCCCACAGAGCACTCGGCTGCTGCCAAGACAGGTGGCTGCTTTCCTGCCGGAGCCCAGGTGCGCCTGGAGAGTGGGGCACACGTGGCGCTGTCAGCCGTGAGGCCCGGAGACCGGGTGCTGGCCATGGGGGAGGATGGGAACCCCACCTTCAGCGACGTGCTCATTTTCCTGGATCGCGAGCCAGACAGGCTGAGGGCCTTCCGGGTCATTGAGACCCAGGACCCCCCGCGCCGCCTGGCACTCACGCCTGCCCACCTGCTCTTCACCTCCAACAATCACACGGAGCCAGCCGCCCATTTCCGGGCCACGTTTGCCAGCCAGGTGCAGCCCGGCCAGTATGTGCTGGTGGCCGGGGTGCCAGGCCTGCAGCCTGCCCGAGTGGCGGCTGTCTCCACACACGTGGCCCTTGGGGCCTACGCCCCGCTAACACGGCACGGGACGCTGGTGGTGGAGGATGTGGTGGCTTCCTGCTTCGCGGCCGTGGCTGACCACCGTCTGGCTCAGTTGGCCTTCTGGCCCCTGCGACTGTTTCACAGCTTGGCGTGGGGCAGCTGGAGCCCGGGAGAGGGGGTGCACTGGTACCCCCAGGTGCTCTACCGTCTGGGACGGCTCCTGTTGGAAGAGGGTAGCTTCCATTCGCTGGGCATGGCCGGCTCAGGGAGCTGAAAAGGCCCCTTCGCTGCCCTCCTGCAAATGCCTAACTTGGTCCAAAGGCCTCCTTGCCGGCAGGGCACTGGTGCTGGCCGGGGCCTGAGTTGGGGGGCACTGGTTCCCACCATCTCCTCTTCGACAGAGACACACCATTGCGACTTGACTGGGCAGTGCTGGTGTGAACCACCCCACCTCGATGACGAGCCAGTTGGGGTGGGGTGGGGCTGGTCTAGCCTTCTATTCTAGAGACCTCGAGGCTGGCACAGTGGGGCCAACCCAGCCAGCCCTCCCTTCGACTTTTCACGCCCGCCTCCCCCCTGGGGGAGGGCCCATTCCATCTGTCTCAGGCCCCTCTTAGGTGGGCTCGCACCTCAGTTGATGCTGCTAGATTCCCTGGGAGCCAGCAGGGAGCTGGCCGGACTCATCACCTGCTGCCCAGAACTGCCAAGGCTGCGGGGTAAGGCAGCCAGCCTGGCCACCCTGAGGCATGACCTTCCTCCCTGGCCACACTCCCCGGGACATATCCAGAGACTGTTGCTGTCGTGGCCAGAGTTCTGGGTTCCAGCAAATGTGATCATAGTGCCCGGGACCAGGGGAAGGGGCTGGATGTCCTTCCGCCCCTGCCCAGGCTAAGCTCCCTCTTCTGCTGAACCATGACCCCCAGACCCCCTCCGGTCAGTCTCCCCCACCTTATTTATTGGCGCGGAGGGGGAATCCCATGGGAGAATTTGGGGGATGTTTTGGTCTTTTCTTCCTTTTGTAATAAAAGTTATTTAAGTTGTTAGAGCCATAGAGTCTAGGATGCTGAGTGGGGCCAATACACAGACAGCCCGGAGCCATGGGTGGGTCCGTCCGGAGGTGTGCTCACCTTCCTCCCCGGACAAAACCTCCCACGCTCCCATCGTCTCTGCAGGCCCTCCTCACCCAGCAGCCCAGCAAAGTCCCCACAGAGAGCTGGGCTCTGCTCCAGGCAAGGCCTTTCACACGCTGACCTCCAAGTTTGCCATAAACACTACTGGACCAGAGAGAGAACTGAGGTAACTAGCCTGGGGTCACTTTACTCATCTAGAACCACCTCACTGTGCCTAGTCAAGGCGCTTTTTCTGCTTACTCCAGACTTTCTCAGGGCCTGGGGTTCTCTTCCTTCAGTGAGAATAATGGACCATGGTATGAAAAGATTCTGTAGAATTCGCATCTGCCTCGTGGCCCCTTCTGACTTCTGGGATAACTCAGGGGTCCCTAATCTAGCAGGCCTCAAACCTCAGAATCACCTGGGCAGCGTGTTTAAAAATGATTCCCGGCTCCACTCAAATGATTCTGCTTTAATAGGTGCTGAGCGAGGTGCAGGAACTTATTTTTACAAACATACCAAACATGGCAGATGGTCCATGGACCGCACTTGGAGAAACATTGCTCAGTCTAGAAAAGGCCCAGTTGGTTGTCCAGACAAGGTGACCCCCTTCTTCATTTTCTCTTCGTCTCTCTAGCCCAAGGCAGGTTTTTCTGAGCTGATCTCACTACAGGTCAGCTGAGATTCCCAGGTCCAGCGGTACACTTGTGAAATTGTCAGATGTTCCACAAGCCAGTTGAAATAGTTGAAATAGGCCATGGCGGGAGTATTCACACCACGGAAACTGGTGTATGCTCTGAAGTAGAGTTCCCCTGACCATGGAGAGCCAGTCGCTAAAATACACCACTGCCCACGTTCTCCCCGCTTACAAAGATCACTATGTCAGGGATGACTGCTCAGACTCTTACCTCACCTTTTCCCCACCTCCATGGAGGAAAACTCTGGAGAAAATGTCATTGCCCTGGATACTGCGTCATCTGGGAGGAAATAAGCCCCACAGGCTATAGTGACAACTGCTGTTGTTCAGTGAAGACTAACCGTCACTATGCATTGTTCTAAGTGCTTTATATGAAGCCATTCATTCTGGTAACAACCTTAGGTGGTGTATGTTTTCATATCACCATGTTCCAGGTGAGCACAGAAGCACAGGGAGGTTAAGTAACTTGTCTGAGATGACACAGCAAGGGACAGAAGCAGGATTTGAACCCATGCATCCTGGCCTTTGGGCCCAGTTTTGACCACAAGGTTTTTCCCTTGGTGAACTTGGGTTCTCTCTGGAGGGTATTCTCAGCATTGTCAGCTTTGTCAGCACATCTAGAACGGACTCATGGCAGACGCTCATGGACCAGGCCTACAGGGTCCAGAATGTCCATGAACTCATTTACAGTGAAAAACAGAAGATCAAGGTCAAGATACTCTTGTCCATTTGTTTGTACATTCTCTCCCTTATAGACATTCTTTAATGGTGGGGGAGAGACACAGAGAGAGAGAGAAAGGGAGGGAAGGGGGAGGGGGAGGAAGAGAGAGAGGCTTTCCTCTATGGGGTCCAGCTGCCTCTCCTACTGGGCCTGAGCACACTCTGTCCTGCGGACGCAGGGCCATTTGGTGTCCCCAGACCTTTCTGTTCTAGATGGGCTTCCTTAGGAAACAAATTCATTCTTCAGACAGAGAAGGCTGCAAAGATTCAGAAAAAAACTTATCTGAATTCAGACCCTAAAAAACCAACCTTGGTGTGGACGTGGGGCCCTGAGGCTTTTCCAAGAATCCTGGGAGCAGATCTGAGCAGACTGTGAGTGAGGAGACACGGGGAGACAGCCTGCCATCTTCCACCATTACAATATGATGGTGGCCCCAATCCCTCCCACCTAAACCCACTTCGCCCCAGTGTCTATAAAGCCAAGGCCCAGAGGAGGGTCAACAGTGCTGCCCAGGCAGCTACTGACCCAATACCTGCCTCTCCTCTCAGGGTCAAGTGCAGCCCCCAAGGCTGTGGCGTCTACAGTTGTGAGCTGCATTCACCTGTTTGGTCGTTATTCACTGGATACTCTTGTGTTAGGTCCTGTGCGTGAAGGAAAGCGGTAGTCCCTGCCAAGGGGAACTCTTGGGTGGGAGGAAGCAGCATGGGGAGACACACCTGTGCTGTGTGCTGAGTGCTGTGGCTGGCATCTCACAGGGGAGCTATGGGAGTGCCACGGAGGCTGGGAGCTTGGAGGGCTTCCTGGAGGCGAGGATGCTACAGGTAGGGCAAGGAGGGCTTTGCATGGCAGGTCATTAAAGGAAGGGATCCAGGCTGAGGACACAGTAAATGCAAAAGCATGGGGGCTCGAGTGAGCCTGGGGCTTGGAGGGACTTCCAGGCCTGCGTCACGAGGCTATGTGGGCTTGGCCAAACTGAGGCAGAGAGGCAGGCAGGGGTCAAATGTCACAGGGCTTTGTATGCCACACATTTGGACTTGAACCTGAGGGCTTGGGGAGGGCCTGGAGGGTTTGAAGTCGGGGAAGCTCGCGACTAGATTGTTTCAGAAAGCTCGCCCAGCTGCAGTGTAGAGGATGGATCAGAGAAGGCAGCTGCGGAAGCGGGGAGTCCATTTACAGGGGCGAGAAGTTGGTGGCCTGGACTAAAGAGATAGCCATGGGGTCAGAAAGAAGGTGATGGCCTGTAGATGTTTAGGAGTAGAATGGCCAGGACTTGAGGCCAGTTTGGGTGAGTAGTGAGGTTGAGGAAAGGGTTCAAGTCAACTTCAGGTGTTGAAGCATGAGATCCAGCTCCCCCAGGCCCAGAGCCCATGACCATGGCTCTTCTCCAGCCTTTAGTGCCTGCACCTGTGGGGGAGAAATCCAGGGCTTTCTATATAGATATCCTCCCTCCTCATTGCCCAAGGCCGGTCCAACTGGGTTCGAGTGACCCTCGGGGCTCCTGTTCTCTCTGCCTGCCCACCCCCCATTGGGAGTGCATGGGGAGAAGATGCAGAGTAGCCCCGCAAGCCCAGTCCAGGCAAATTGCAACACCTGTGCCTGAGTCCACAAGTCCCTGGGGAGAACTGGACATAGGGAGACCTGGAGTGTTGGTGTACAGGAGACAAAGTAGGAAATCTGGCTTGGGAGGCCTATGGAGCTGCCTGGACCGACTGCCCTCAACACACGGGCCACTACACCCCAGCTCTCCTACTCGTCTGTGCAGAGGCGCCCGCTCAGGTACCCACCCCCAAGCTGTCTTTGGAGGCTCCTCTCTCTGGTTTGGAAAGACCCAGTGACCCTGGGGATGGCCCTTCCGAAGCTGCGTGGGATGCACTTACCTGAAGATGCTGCCTTGGGGATGGTTTCTGACAGTCTGCCGTGCTGTGCTGGGAAAGGCTGAGATCCAGCTAGAAAAGACAACTCTTCTGGCCTGGTGCCAGCAAACCTGTTTAGGAGAGAACCCAGTGCAGGGGGCACACTGGGGTACCAGCACACCTGGATTTCAGCCCCGGCTTGCCTGCCCAGCCTAGAGCCCGTATGTACAACTTGTACAACCTTGACTCTGGCCCTGACGGCCGGCAGGGGCCTCTCTGCTAGGCTCAGCAGATTCCCCACCTGTGATTCAAGTTTGGAGAGAAGTTCCCCCACAGTGTCACACAGGAGGAAGCGCAGAGCAATTAGACTGGGGTGGGGACAGGATGAGCTCAATGACACCAGTGGCTGGGGGGCTTCCTGGAAGTGGTTTTGGGCTGCCACCTTCTAGGTTGAGTGCTTGGGGCAAGGGTAGGTGGACAGATTATTGGGAGCAGATGCGGGGAGAGGGGCAGGGCACGCTCAGGAACTGGGAACTGGTGTGGCTGGGGCTAAAGGGGCCAGGAGGGGAAATGGGAGCTGGGCTGGGGGTGGGGGGACACTGCGCCCCATGGAAGGGGTGGGAGCTGTGGGCCTGGTGGGAAGATCTGGAGAGGAAATGCCCCAAAGAAGTCGGACATTGGGCCCTGGGGGAGGGCACAGGCCCTGCTCCCCACACAGAAGGGTGCCCCCAGTGCAGAGAAACCTCTCTGGTAGGGGTTGGCAGCAATGGCTTCCCCACCCCATGCCCTCTGCCCCCTGGGTGGAATGTGCCTGATGGGGCTCGGCCCCATGTCCCACACCCCAGCCTGGTTCTCAAAGCCTCTTTGTTCCATGGGGCTGAGTTGTGGCCAGCC